TAATAAAGAGGTAGTGGAGAAACTACCCGGCTTTACATAATGTAAAAACTGGCTTAGTTTATTGATTAGTCTTATGATATTAAGTGTTGTGTTGTTCGGTTAGTTTACGTTTTGTAGCCATCACTGAAAATTCAATAAAATAAAATTTCTCTTTTGAATCATTTAACAGGAAAAACTACTTTAAAAACTTTTAAAATAAATTATATTTTTAAACCTTTAGAGTATTTTACTATTACTAAAAAAATCAACATATAAAATTTCAAAACTAGCTATCAAATACACGTTGTCATAATATTTAACAGAATTTTAATTCACCATTAAAAATGATTACATTATCTAGTAGATTAAAAGAGGCATATTACAGATTTAAAAGTCAAAAGAAGCCATTATCAGGCTTCAAATTATTGCAATAAAAAAGGTGTGGTTCAATACAATATATATGTTCGATGAGTTCTGTTGTCTCCAATATATGTTTGGTATTTTTTTCTCTTTCTTTTGTTTTTGTTTAAGCTGTAAGCTAATTGTTTAGCATGATAAGTTTGTTGATATTTTTTGAACAACAAAAAGGTTTGTTGGGTTGGTCTTCCCCGGGTGCCTTACTGGTGTATGCTCCTTTGATTTCCACCATGCCATCCTTGGTGAGGAATCTGGGAGATGGGTGGTAGGTGGACGGAATTGCAGCCATTACATTGATTCAAGGCGACTATGATCGTACTGTACGCCGAGGATATCTCAGAATCCAAAGATTTATCAATTTTCTAGCTTCATTTAGATAATGAGATTCCTCAAAAGCTATATCAAAAGCACTCGGAGTTGATAAAATATTATATTCCTTACTGCTCTCCCGATAAACTTACACTCTCTCGACTAATCACATGTCTTGTTCTGACTTGAGCGTCGAAGAGTAATCGAAAGAGTAACCTCTCTCCGTTTCACCACATTTGCTTCCTCCCATATATTTCAAGTTGACCATCCCCCTAGATGTTGAATCTCTCTAGCAAACCTGTTAGTATATCAGATCACTCCACGTAAAGATTTTGAAAGTTTTTCCTGAACAATTGGCACTAGAAAGAAGAATTATTAACCTTCTCCGCCTTTCCCTAGCCGTCCTCATTGCAGTTTTACTTTTGTAGATACAGAGCATTAATGCTTTTGATTTGTACGGCGTTTGCTCCCCGTATGTTAGACTTAATGGGCCACAATCCAATTTATGGCCAACACTAGCATATTTAAATATTTTTTTCTTCAACAGCATATTTAATTTGTTATATGTTTGTTGATATCTTTTTTATATATTCATATTTTTCAGTTTTAATCACTAATCAAAAAACTTTATTTTTAATTTAGTTGTGTGGTTAATAAAAATCATGCTATCCTAAAAAAATTAATATGAAAGAAAAAAAATGAATGAAGTTAACAGTCTTTGAGACTAATTTTTAAGAAGATAAATTCTTTTTTACCACAACTTAAAAATAAAACAATAGATCTCTCACTTAAATTAGATATACAAAAATTTTGATGCGCCAAAATTAGTATTTCATATTATCACAATGTAACAAATTTAATCGATAAAATTTTGATATGTGTTACAATTAAAATAAAAAATATAAGAAAAATAAAATAAAAAGTAAACAAAAAGATATATATATATATCAATTAAAACGGAAATAGATATATTTAAATTAAAATGTAGTTAACTTCAATTTAACAAATATATATATATATACTTCAACTAAGAAAAGGAAAAAAAACAAATTAACTTTAATTTTTAAAATATGTAAAACATTAATCCTAAGAGAAAGAGAAAATAAAATAAAATAATATATTTCAATTAAAAAGAAAAGTTAATAAAAAGGTAAATAATATTAAAGTTAGTAATTCATATGACTGCAACACTTGTAGATTTAAATCTATAAGATTTAAACATGTGTCACAACTATATAAAAAGTACATAAAAATATATACACACACAGTATCCACATGTACAACCATCAAACATGTTTAATATTAAGTTCAGCTTTGACATGTCTAAAATTAAGCTTAAAGATGTATGTTTAAATTTGGTACGTACTATGTTGGCTTGGATGGTAAACTTATGTGGATGTCTAAAAATAATCATATGTGGATGTTTGGATAGACTGTAAAGCTTGAATGGATGAGCAAAATTAGATGTAAGTAAGTGGACGGGTTATGATTTGAGTTTATAAAATAAGTGATCAAATGTTTTAGTTGTATATGTGGATACAACGATGTGGAATGATACGTGTGGATGATGCAAATAGATGTTTATTCATCATTGTATATTTGGAAGGGGTGGAAAGTGTCAATGGATAAGTGAAACTGGATGTAAGTAAGTGAATTTGTTATAATCTGCGTCTATAACGTAGTAGTAGTCATAGTATTACATAATTGTCTATGAACATCCATATATAGTAGTCCATGAACATATGTCCATCAATGATTTTGAATATTTTTATGGATGATTGAATCTTTCAACTCATCCACACCTATCGTGAATATCGTGTGGATATGATGTTATGGACAAAAAAATGAATGCGTAGGCATGAACGAGTAAAAAAGAGAAGATGAGAGAATTAATATGTGGTAATTTTGTGATGTGTATTCATGAGAAATCATCCACAAAGTTACTCATCCATTATAGATCATCCATAATGTGTCTGTCCACCCATGAAATCTGAATATGAATATATATTATGGTTGTTGCAGAATAAGATTATAGTTCTTATAGTTTGTCTAACTTTTTTGATGTCTTAAAATTTGTTAAAATCCAGATTTTATTTCAGAATCTAATTTTGCTTGTTAAAAAGAGAGAGAAAGAAATAAAAAGAAAGAGAAAAGAAAAAAGGTCAATATTGTTTTTTTTATAGGTAAAAATACTCTAGTTGCATCAAGTGCTCTTTTATGTAATTATACTTTAGAAAAGTACTCTTTTTGTAATATTCTCTTGATAAATCTACATACACTCTTTCTCTCTCTCGTTATTAATGACTTTAATCATTTACTAGTTGATGCAATTATTTTATTTTTTATTAATTGATATTAATATATATCATTTGTAATAAATAATATTAACATTTACATCAGTTAATATAATTAAAATAAATATTTACATCAGTTAATATAAATTTATTATATAAAGATTGAATTGTGTTTTACAAAGATAACACATTATCACCTCTCTCCGTGACACATCAATTTCAAAAAAAAAACTTGAAAAAAATCAGTTAATTAACGTAACTCTATCTATGCATTTTCGTCTCTTTTGTTATATCTCATTGTTTACCATTTAATGACACACGTATTAAGTTCAATGGTAAATTATACCTTCAACTAAAAACTAAAAAACTGATCATCTTCTTTACGTTATGTTTTAACACTATCAAAAATCCAAACATTATGATTTCCTATATATGTTTCACTTTTTGAAATGCGCACAATCTAAGACCAGTTTTTGGAATTTCTATATATATATAACCACACTTCTTCACTTCAAGAGATCTACATTTCGCTTTGGAACCTAAAATTCATGTGTTAATTAGCAGAAGATTTCACGGTCGAAAAAAGAAGTGGTGCATCGATCTACATGAAAAAGTTCGAAGATAAAAATCTCGAAAAGAGCACACCAGTCTGTGCATGCCATCACGAGCAAATTAATTTTTTTTATAATGAAAACGGATGGGGCTTTGACATTAAGCTTGCAGAATTCGAATAGGTGGTAGAATGTTTAGTCGTGACATTAAGCATGTGAATCTTTGCCTAAAAAGTCATAAAACCAGAGGTGATTGCCGATTGTGGTCACTCCACTTATAAATTAATCTGTAAAAAAAACACCCTATTAAAAAATAAAATAAAACGACACCACATCCTACGTATATTGTACAATTGGTTTCTTTTTATAAATATCAGCCGTGTAATATCATATAAAAAATGAGAGAAAGGTTATCATAATTTAATAACATATTAAACGTTTATAAAAAATCAAATTTTCAGTTTGAAAGTGTAACAATAATAATGGATATATACAATTTCCAGAAAACAAATTAAAATAGGACAACGAAAGCAAGAAGACACATTGCCTTTTACAAACCCAAAAAATAAAATATTCAACTAAAATAAGATTATCATCAAAGAAAATGCAAAATAAATAACATAAAAAAAAATAAACAAAATCTGCGCGTAGCACATACAAAACACTAGTTTACCTAATTAAATTAAAAACTAAAAAAGATTACAATCCTATCATAAATTTTCTATAAACTAATCATGGTTATATTAATAAATATGATAAATTAATAAATTAATATCATTTTTAATTGGACTAATATGAAAGAGAATATATATCAATAAAACAAATAGATTTTTCTCATATGTAAAGCTTAAAAAACATACTTATTATAATTCACATATATTTAAATTCCATACAAACTAAATTCGACAGGTAAAATTTATATGGAATTTTCCTATGAAATTTGAATAAGTTTCTTTACCTATTTTCTTTGTTTTGTTTTTTTGCAGTGATGGTTGAACTTATTTAAATAATAATAATTTCACTATATTAATGTTTTTCAATCTTAAGATCAAATATTAAAATATAATATAATATAATTTTATTTTTAATTATTTATTAATCTCAATTTTTCTTTTTGATTTTTGTAATTTTTGTAATTTTATAATTTTTTGTTTTTCTAATGAATCTTATATAATTTTCCAAAATTAATATTTTTATTATTTAAATTATAATTTCGGTATCATAAACCTAATAATTTAATTGATGTTAACATCTGTTAAAACGTGTAATTATATGGATAAAACTAAAATTTGGCGTATTATATTTATAATGAAAAAGTTAGTTGACGTATTGTTTTGTAATTGTAAACGTTTGTGTATTAAAATGGTAATGGAAATTTAGTTGGTGTATTTTATGGAAATTTCCAAAAAAAATACAACAGTTTCTTTTGGTTAACAACAGAAAGTATGTTTTTTTATAAAAAAAAAAACAAAATTACTTTCAAATATTTATAATAAGATTAGTAGTTACACAGACAACGTTGGGCTATTTATAAAAAAACAACATCGATTTATTATAGAAAGACTCTATTGGTAAGTTATATGCATGTTCTCTTGTCTGGTACGAAACTCATACGTTGTATGTTTGTCTTAGCTGGTGCTGATGGGTTCTGACAATTTTCGCTAGTCTGACCGCTGCTGCCGAATGTCTGGCTCTCAAGTGCCATTTTCTTGAATTCCTTCAAGTCTTGTTGGTATTGTGTTGAGCAATAATCGGAGCTGTGTTCTGAAGCAACTCCTTCGATTAGGTCATCTAGAGATATGCTTCCTTCAAGTGCTCGAACAATCTGCAATAATCCCCCCAAGTCACAAAGTTTTCATGTGTTATCCTAGTGCGATATTAAATGTTTGCCAAAAGCTTATTAATAATTTTGAGGATCGGTGTGCTAAAGCCAAAACAAGATAACTAACCCAATCAACGATGCTGTTATCATCATCAAAAGGTCGGCGTCCGGTTATCAATTCGAGAAGCACCACTCCGAACGAGAAGATATCTGACTTGTGAGTGAGTTTCCCAGAAGCAGCATACTCAGGGGACAAGTAACTGCATCCAAGAAACAAGTTTAAAGATAGTTAGCTCATTGTTAGTTATCAACTCATGGTTTTCGTAAAAGCATTCATACCCGAATGTTCCCATAACCCGAGTGGAAACATGAGTTTCAGTGTCTGAACAAGACCTGGCGAGTCCAAAATCCGCTAACTGATGATGAATCCAGAGGTTCAACATTATTACAACATTATTAGCAGCGCAGTTGAATTAAATCTGAAAGATTTTTACAAGTTTTTGAGTACGTACCTTGGCCTCGAAGCTGTTGTCGATAAGAATATTGGCCAGCTTAATGTCCCTGTGAATGGTTTTCGGGTTACCTGAATCCAGAAAGAAGAAAAATCTTACACGCAAACAAACATAAACTTACACAACCCAAAGACAAAGAACATTTGCTCACAATCTTCATGTAAGTAAGACAATCCTTTAGCTGAACCCAAAGCAATCTTCACCCTCTTTGCCCACTCCATTACCGGTCTCCCTTTCTCTGCAAATATTACCTTTAGTTCAAAAGAAAGTGACCAAAATTTCACACAAACCATTATTAATCTTGCAATGAAATTGAACTCACTGTGCAGATGAAACTCCAGATTATTGTTAGGCACAAACTCATAAACAAGCAATCTTTGACCTCCGGTTGTGCAGTAGCCGAGGAGTGAAACAAGATGCCTGTGATGGACTCTACTAATTGTCTCTATCTCTGCCCGAAACTCGCGTTCGCCTTGTCCGCTTCCAGCTTTAAGCTGCTTAACCGCAATCTCTGTTCCATCGGGAAGTACTCCTCTATGAATCAGGTTGGTGCTGGAGAAGTTATCGGTTGCCTGAGCTAAGTCTTCATACGCAAACAAGTTGTTTGAAATGTCTGGGGAGCTACTTTGCTGAAGAAGATTATCATCTATAAAATAGTAATAAAAAGATTACTAGTTGCTCAAGGTCGTGTGCACTGTCTAAGTTACTAATAATTGCATATTCATGACTAAAGAAGAATGGTACCTAAAGTCGCTCTCCTCTCTCTCTTGAGAACAATGAAAGCAGCGGTAGCGACTAGGACTAACAAAATTGACGCTCCAATGGTAGATGCAACAATTTTGATTAAGATTTTGTTGTTTGTGTTGGTGCATGATTCGAGGGAACAGAGCCTAGGATTTCCTTCAATGCTAGAGTTTTCACAAAAGTTATTCAAAGAGAAATTTGGTTACAAAGGTTTTAAAGATTTGATGTTTGCCTTTTACAAAAAAAAAGTTACCTAAGTGAAATTGATCTGTTGTACACTTTGTCACGGAGACTTGTGGGGATGGTGCCGTTAAGCTGGTTATTCGATAAATTTCTGTTTGCATCCAAACATAAATATAAACATGTGATTAGTTGTGGTTTTTTCATTTCTTTTCCCTTGTATAAAGAATACATTTTAGATTCGTTCGTCATAACTAACATACGTACATGAGTTTCAAAGTGTCCATTTTGGCTAGAAACTCCGGGACCGAACCAGTCAAACGGTTGTTGGACAGATCACTGCCAGAAAGTAAATTCAAACCCATTAGAATTATATATTATCTACTTTTTTTAATCACAACTTCAATGTGATTTCTGGACGTGTCCATTAGATTCTAGCATCTACTTACAGAACTTGTAAACTGGTAAGGTTTGATATGGAGTCCAGTATCTCCCCGGTTAAGCCACTAGCCGTCAAATTCCTGTTTCAAAATCAAAATCAGATGGATTAAGCCTTTTTGGACCTCTAAAAATCATATGAAGAGAAGTCAATACAATTATACTCACAAAGAGATGATCTTAGGAGGCTCATTCTCTATGTAACTGCAGTTAACAGCAGACCACCTGTACTCCTGCGGCGCGCAAGGATCTCCTTCCCAGTCTATCTTGTTCACAGCGTACCCGAATTTGACAAAATTCATCGCGTCCACTATATAACATTTTTTTTTCCAAAAATTAATGTTAGTAAAGTTTGTTACTTCATCAACAATAATTAAGTCACAAAGTAGTTTGTTAGTTAGTTTAACCCACCTTCTTTTTTACCAGTTTCTTGCTGCGATAACGACTTCACCAAGTAGACCTCCATGGCATTGAGCAGAGGAGGCAGTGTAGATTTCTCGGTCCTTTCAAACGAAAACGTGTATTGTCCTTTTGCATTAGGGCCGACCTCGTGGCGAGGTTTTACGGTGGTAGTTAATAATCTATTCGGTTTCCAGGGTCCGTAGTATGGCCATCCGTTGTACGTAATGGTGAATTCTCTGGTTTCGTTCGAATGGAGCTCTTGAATCTCAGACAAGTGAAAAAAAACAAAGAATCGTGAAGCCGGATCCACTCCGATTAGCGAAATGCTCAGCGGAGCGTACGGGTCGGTTGGAACAGATGCGGTGACCATAGCAGTCTCTGGCGGCCTATAAACATTCTCGATATGAACACTCTGGTTGGTACTGATCTGTGACCAACTTTCTAAGTTGTAAGGCCGCCAAATGCGATCAAAGGCATCTGACACATAGTCATTTGCTCTGAACCTAAAACGAAGAATTAGCGCACGTTTAGTTCTTGTTCGTTTCTTAGTTTTAAAAATGGAATCAGAAACCTCAAACCTCAAGGATTGGTTAGAGACAGAGCCAACGTCTGCTCTCAGGAAAGTCTGCAAGGATCCTCTACGAGTATAATTCATGTAGGCTTTGGTCGGCATTTGACGCAGCTCCAAACCGGAGATAAATGGTGTTGAATCTCCTGTCTTGACAAGACAGACTTGTAACCTGTCAGTGGTCAATAGATGAATCAACTCAAACCTTTTTCCATCAGACTCGTTGGTGGTGGACACTGTTTCCCATCGGTTCGGCCCAAGGTGGAGGTGGAACTTTGTTAACGGTTTCTGGTCATAACCTCCGTGGTAAAACGTTGCCCTTATAAGATATATGTCTCCTGAGGTTAGGTTAAATGTATAACAGTTTCTGAAACCTCGAGGAAAACTCCGGATATACCTTGCATAAGAAGTTACATTATTAGTTTAACAAATAATAATAATAAAATAAGGTTTAATTAAGTTGTAGTATATAATTCTTATGTGTCTGAGAATGTTTGATATATATGATATACAAATCTATATATTACCAGGTGTTTTGCTCAGGTATGATGATTTTATCCTGCTACTAACACCGGTAGATATGAACTCCGCATCCGAGGTGTAGCTAATGTTTGTAACTTTGTCTGTGAATGTTGTTTCGCGCGGAGAACCACACGATAGACTGATAAATGCTTCTGTGAAAAATAAAACGTGAAAAAAGGAAACCTCAGAAGATATATACTACTATTTGGATAACTGAAACGACGACTTGGCTTTGAACAATAAAACGACGACTTGGTATTGCTTTAGTGTAAAAATTGGGTTTTTTATTTTTTACCTGAGAAAACAAGAAGACAAATGGTAATTAATTTCCAATTGCTCTTAGAATTCTCAAATGGTAATTAATTAACAATTGCTCGTGGCAGAACAAAAAAGGAGACAAATGGTAGTAATTAGTACCATTGCTCTCGTAATTCGCTTAACAACAAAAAAACCAAATTTAATGAATAGAAATTGAGGACCAATGAACACAGGTGGGATTTATATGGTTGCAGAGCGCTTTTTTTTGTAACCTGTTGCAAACCTTTTTTCTTATGCTAATTAATACTAGGCTTTATGAAACCAACGTCCAGTCATCAAGATTAGAAGAAAAATGATGAAATTTAGGGCTAGATGATGATATGTTTTAATATAAACAATAAAGTCACTGATCAGGCCATGTGGGTGGGGGTTTTGATAAATAGTAAACGAAATGAATTAATAAATTCGGTATCCCAAGCAAACCGAATTTAATTACCTCTGTATCTCTAGGCTAAACTAATCGCCGAGCTTCGGATCGAAACCTCGGAACGATTAGAGACTATTCTTCGACAAAGATAAGAAGAATCTCGCTGATGAGAAGACGAAGAGCTCATTTGTTTCTTCGTTACTAGGTTTAGTTCCCACTCTTTTATGATATTGTGGGTCTTTTGTAAAACATGATGGGGAATTTAGCTCTAATTTAATTAATTGAACTTATTAGGGTTTATTTATGATTGCCACAAAAAAAAATTGTTAAATAAACGGTTACGAATGCACCTCCTATTTTAGAGCTATGGCAGTAAAATTCAAAATCTCACGGATTTGGCCTACCAAATTCGATTTACAAAGAGAAACAATTTCTTTTAAGTAATAGAAAAAATGATTCTCCGACAAAGATTAGGAATCTCGTCGATGAGAAGATGAAGATGTCGTCTGGTTCTACTTCTACCATCGCTGAATGGGCTTGCTTATTGGGGCACTCGTTTTCCTACTAATTTTTTTATTGTTTCAAGTTTGGAACTCTTATCTTTCTTTTTTTTTAAATGAAAATCATTAAAGGATATATTTAAGAAATATATTTGAAAAATATAAAATCTTATGCCCACAATACTAAAACCAATAAAGATCTTAATCCAGAACACATATTTATAAAAAAAAAATTAACTTCGTATTTAAAACGTAACATAAGCCAACCAACGAGCCTTCCATATTTCTGGAGAATCAAAGAATTATCGAAGATGTCAGCTTGTATTTCAGATTCCAAGAAATTTGTCTGACATCATGGAGGCTTTTTGCAAGAGAAAAATTTATTTGACAAGAAATTTCTCACTTCAAAAAGTAAAACGCATCCAACAAGCTCTTCACTTTAGCATTAACTTAGGCGGTTCAGAATTTTGTATTCATTAGATCTAGATATGCGAATAAAAATGGTGATCAAACTAACATACCACAACAAGCAAGCAATGAAAGATCAAAGCAATGAAAGATCAAATGGCCGTAGAGGAAAAGACCAGGTCGGCTTTTCAAACCAAAGGGCCGAGCCCGAATGCCCCTGCTATAACTTCTGAGCTAGTTGCCGATCCGCCTTGGGTTTCTCCTACAGAGCCTTAGATCATAGTAGGTCTGAAGTCTACTCCAAGGCCCGAAAGGTCTACTTTTATCCCGTTACAAAGAGACCTCCAAAGCGTGCTGCTCCAAAAGAAAAAGAACCTATGATGCAGTGGTTCAAAAAAGAAAGTTGGGCGCAAGGTGTCTACTCCCGTCTTGGTTCCTGCATCGGGTTTCACCCCTTCTATAGCCGAGGCGTCTAGTGACGAGGCTGCTGCTTCAGCCACTATTTTCTCCAAGATATTTTGTCTAAATGAACGATTCCTACCACCGGACACCCTCATCAAGAGAAAGAAGTATGTCCATATAGCGGTTTTCTATTTGTGAATGCATCTTATTTTTTGCTTAATCTTGTGTTTCTTTATTTATAGAGACTGCCAACGAAGTGATCTCGGGATATGAGCAGGACGCCCGAGATGACCAACGCCGTGTTAAAGAGGCTCACAAGGACGCTTTGATTCTAAGGACTAAGCTTGCCAAGGCAGAGAGCAAGCATGTCACCGAGGTGGAAAGAGCTTCAGCCCATTTAAAAACCCTTCAGACTGAGAAGGATGACCTGAAGCGCAAATGTGAAGAGACTAATGCTCTCGTGGTTCGCCTCAATGAGAAAAAGATGAGGAAAGACTCTGAGATTGCTTCGCTCAAACGGTAGCTGGTCGCTGATTAGGAATTGCCCGAGGCAAACATTAAGAAATCTCGAAAGGTAGCAAGGCGAGAATTTGCTAAGAAATTCCACGGTCACATCAGTAGAGCTGAAGAGAAAATCGAAGATGTAAAAGGCGGAGCTAGGGAGAAGATTCTCTATGGCGGCTGCTAACAATAGAGTGCGATTGAAAGTATGATCTTAGTTTCTGCACAAACATCACTATGGCGAGCGCCAACTTTTCCATCTGCATATATCGAGTTTTCGAGTCGGCTAGAGTCTGACTGACATAGAACATGAGCTTCCGCTCTCCGCGTTCTTCTGGAACCAAATCTCTGCTGGCCTAGTTGAGACGGTTTTGCGAGTACTGGGCGTGTGGCTAGGTATTCTTTCAATTCTTGAAAGGCCGCCTTGCATGATTCAGTCCACTCAAATTTCTTCTTGCCTTTGAGCGTGTCATATAAGGTTAAACATTTGTCGGTCAATGTTGTGATGAATTGATTTAATGTGTCCCGTCAACCTTTGAAATTTCCACTTGTTTTTTGGCAATGCCATTTGAATTAAAGCATCGATCTGCTTAGGATTTGATTTTATGTCTTGGTTTGTCACCAGATATCCGACAAATTCTCCAGAATTTACTGCGAACGTACACTTCATTGGATTTAACTTCATGTTGTGTTAGTTCAACTATTTGAAGAAATCTCTAAGATGGGTGATATGATCTTTCTCCTTGAGTGATTGTACTAACATATCGTCTATGTAGACTTTCATCATTTAATTCGAGCTGTTGCACAAAAATCTTGTTTACCGGCCTTGGATAGGTTGCCCCGGCGTTTTTGAGTCTGAAGGGCATTACCTTGTAACAATATATACCACGATCTGTTATGAATGCTGTTTTTTCTCTATCTTCAAGATTCGTTAAAATTTTATTGTATCCAGAAAAATCATTGATAGAAGAGAGGAGACTATTGCCAATGGTTGATTCCACGAGGTGGTTGATGTGTGGCAGCGGGAAGATATCTTTTAGGCATGCTTTGTTCAGTGAAATTGATGCAGATTTGTTATTTCATATTTTTCTTTTTCACCACCACTGGGTTTGCAAGCCAATCGGGATATTTTGCTTTGACGATAGATCCTACTCTTGGGAGTCTGTCTACTTCATCATTAACAGCCTTAGTTCGTTCGAGCCCCAGTTTCCTTCTCTTCCGCTTCACTGGTTTGAAGGAAGGATCAACGTTTAGCTCGTGGCAGGTGACGTCGATGCTGATCTCATGCATGTCTTATGCAGCCCATGCACAAGTGTTGAATTTTTCTTTCAGGAAAGTGATCAGCGTATCTTTCAACGCTTTGTCCAGCTCGGCTTGATTTTCACACATTTCCTCGGGTTTTCATCGTTGACTCACACCGAGATTATTGGGGTGCACTTAGGACGATCTCCTCTTTTGTTTTCTGTAATTGCTATAAATGTTTTGACCACCCGAGCTTCACCTCATGGTTTGTTTTCATCTTCTTATGTTCCATGTCCCCTTTTGATTTGGTCTTGGAGTTTCGTAGTTTATATTCTGCCATGAAACATATTCTAGATTCCTTCTGGTTTCTTCATATTGTCTTAATTCCGCTCGAACAATAGGAATTATCGACATAGATGGTATGTTGAAGCTACGACCCTTGTTGAATTTATCTAGGGTGTTCCCATAATAATGTTGTAGATTGTCGGGCTATCAGTGACTGAAAAATATATGGTTCTTGTCAATGTCTCTGGCTTGAACGGACAGCTTGATAGTCCACATCATCATTATAGTATCTCTCGAGAAACTGGTTAAATGGCTCAGAGTTAGTTTTACCTCAAATAAGTCGACACCCATTTTGCGAGGGTATAAAAAAAATGACATCCACAGAGCTCCGATGTTGTTAAATACTCTTATAACCTCATGATCATTCAATATCAACTCGATTGTGAGAAAATCGTTATGCAATATATCGATTCCAGTCGTTTACTGCTCTTTAAAGTTTTTTTAGAAACATTACAGATTCAAGTCTTTAGCGAGATTACCACTCTGATTTAGTTTGGAAATTTGTTGAACTATGATGACTTGTGTCAATGCTTTGTCAACAAGTGTACAAGAAATCTGAACAATGCTTTGTGTCAATGCTTTGTCAACGACCATGTCAGAAGTTGTTGTTGAATTAATGGAGTGTTTAACATCTGAACACTCGAGGGGAGACATGAATTTCATAAGTGATATAATATAAATTGTTTTCTTGTAGTGTGGTACTCAAGTGAGGGAAAACGACTAATTTCTCTTTAAACTAACAAGTTCCTGACGATTCATATATGATCTATGAGTCAATGCTAATAACTACATGAACTATTTAAAATTTTGAAAATACTACATGAACTAATGATATATGGTCGATTCCACCAAAATTGCATATAAAGTTATTTGTAGCGTTAGCGATTGCTGACTAGGACGACATATGGTGTGCAAAAATGGCCAATTCCCCTATAAACTTACAAATTCTTGATGATTTATATATGATCTATGAAACAATATTAATAACTACATGAATTATTTAAAATAGCATATGAACTATAGAAATATGGTCAATTCCATCAAAATCATATATAGTAAAATCTCT